CCAAGCCACAAGACACCCTTCGAATCAGGAAAACACCCTGGCACGGCGTGACGAAACAGCCTCCTGCCGTCCCTCTACCGCCAAACGCCACTCCTGAACGGAATAAAAAATCAAGGTTCTGGCAGGAATTCCACTGTTGGGGCACAGAGCTCCATTGTTCCAGGCACAGAAATCTGCGCACCGAGCACCAAAGACACTTCGAGCTGGGATCTCGGCAGGCAATTCCACTGTTGCAGGGGCACAGAAACCTGTGCACCGAGCACCAAAAACACTTCGGGGTGGGATTTCTAGATAAAGAAGCAGTAGCACACCTTATGGCCACAATTGATACAACAGAACATACCATTTCGGGGCGCGCTCCCCCTTGCTGCACCACGGGGTCGGCGGATATATATGTATATACAATTCTTGAAAGCTTGCAAAGCGCATGAAAAGAAGAGAGACACACTTTGCCCAGGAATTGGGAGCATCGGCTTGTGGTACTCACCTACACAGGCTGCATCTTTGACACCAGCACGCAGAAGGCAAACGCAGGGAATCTGCATTGAACATGGTGTGTGTTTGTATATATATATATATGTATACATATACACATGTATATGCACACGTATATAATAATCATGGAGGGGGTCCATATACATATATATATATATATACACATATGATATATGTGTATATATCACACATTATGTCTCATGAATTCTGGATGAATCAGAACTGCTAGTGAGGCATTTTGGACAAAGAGTTGGATTATGGTGAAGCGATGCTCGTGAAATTGTGTGACATTGATAAAAGCGAACTGAGAGATCCCTGGAGAATCCCCGGAGGCTATGTGGCGTGCCAGCTATGGCGCACTTCGCAGTTTGGGCCACAAGCAGCCAAACTGAGCGCGCCGCTCCAGCGCCAGTCAATGTGGATCAATCCCTGATTACAGTTTTTACGCGCACGGCTGACCACGCCGTCAGATTGTTTATTGTGGGGAATGTCAAGTGCCCATTGCACAGATGTGAAGCCCTAATCCCACTGTTCCAAAGCTGCCTGGAAGTCGGAAGTGTCTATTGGTTAAGAGGCATTTGGCTGAGGGGTCTGACTGCATCTGGTGAGGATGCATAAGATTGATTTTAAGGGCAGAAAACATAACCGGAAAACAGTTTGAGCAATCTGATGATTTTGTGAGATGTTCAATAATATCCAATTCCAGTTGATACAAAAAAGATGGAATAATCAAATCATTGGAATCATTGCCCATTTTATGTACAGGGGCAGGATGCGTCATGATTGAAGCCTGTTGATGTAGCAGAGGTGGAGAGACAGAAAGTCCCTTGATTGGCATTTGCAATTTCTGGTGAGTCTTCGCATCCGTGTGGCACAGGGCGCTGGAGGAGTTTGGAGTCGAGAGTCTCAGATTTACGGAGACATTAACTTTAGCTGCTTTAGCTATGGCAACGGAATGCAGCAAGTTAGCAGTTCACAGCCAAGTAACCAACTGATTTGTGTGCACATGTGTGCACCGTGCGTCTCACACACCTTCACCGAAGGTCGGGAAGGTCACCGCGTGATGCCAAGACGTCGGGTTGCTCAGGCGAATGACGAAAACTGCTTTTGCATCGGGTTTTGCATGCTTGTGAAGCAGAAAAGAGCCAAGTGCCGTGATGTTCAATCCATTGATAGTAGCTAGAAGCTACTAGTAACAAGGGCATCGCTACTAGTAGCTAGAATGGACACTGCACATTCCCCGCTTCACAATGCCACTGTGCTGTCGCTCGAGTCCAAGGTGCAGTGAGAAGTCCTGGGGCGGCTCAGAGGCGTCTTTGAGTCACACTTCTCTATTTGGGGGTTGGAATGCTAAGCATGGGGCAAAACATGTACACGAGACAATGTATGCAAGAGACACAACATTTCAATTCTACAGCCAGTTCATCAGTGCTTGCAGAGGAGAAGTTACGTTTCGGGACATTTTGATCCTTGTTTCTTGATGCATGTTGTTTTGTTTTCTGAATTATTTGCAATCCTTTTGCGTTGGAGTTGTGTAGAAGCAATGGAGGTTACCTCTGTCAAGAACAAGTCGATCATCTCGACAGGCCTGTCGGCTCCTGTGCGCTTGCGCTTCACACCTGGCGTTTGTAAAGCGTCTTCGATATTTTTTGTCAAGCATCAGCATCAGGCATCAGAGTGTTGTTTTGGCTTTGAAAACCGCAATTGTCCTGGCATTTGGATATACACCTCGTAGTTCTCAGGGACTTGAGATGCGCTGCCATGATTATCATGATTGCCGGATAAAAGGAGCAACAAACAAGAGCCCGCTCTTCCTTAAGTAAGCACAGTCAAACGTACAATTTGGCCATACAACCCATTCATGTGGGGTCTCTACTTTGCAGAACGTGTGTCCGTCCAAAGGACACAACGCAGCAATACCGAAACACCCTACCACTGCACAAGTTGATTGCACACGCATCCAAAGCACTAGTAATTGACTTGTGCGGTCGACCATTCTGTTCTTGGGATTGTGGGGAGAACCTCGATCAGGGCTGGCTTTTCAGCTTGGGCCTACAAGTTGCGCAGGGAGCGCTACGATGTATTGCACTTGAACTTTGCCTGAGTGAGCAAAGTGTAGCAACTGAGGGTCCAGGCGTGGCCTATCAGTGCCAGGCTCCAGCATTGGTCGACCAGCAGCGCAGCTGGCTGTGAAGAAGCACATGAGGAATCATGCGGTATATCAACGGTGGCAGGCGATAAGCTTCTGGGCCTTCAGACATACCAGGAAGAAAACACAGTTGCAAGAGAGACCATTCTGAATGAACAAATGCATTTTTTTTGTGTTTCGTAAGTGCTCAGCAGCAACACCCCTGACTTACATAATGGACAAATGATTAAATATACAAGTCCCACGTCATTTTAAAGTCAATGGAAGAGTTGATTCTCTCGCCTCACAATATTTACATTTTCCTTCGTTCGACTTTGATGGCCTTTCATTGCCAAACCTCTCGGCTCAAACCCTCCAGCTTATGGTTGTGCAAGTTGGGCTGCCGGCGATGCCAACCAAATCCTTGGCATCTTGGTGTGCCGAAGCGAATGTAGTTTTGTGAAGGAATCACTTAACGCTTCTTTGTCCACAGTTTAGAGTCTAGTTCTTTTGACTTTTGAGTCATTTGTGCATTGGTCTAAGGTTTGATCAACATTGCTTCCATTTCCTCTAATGCCTCCAGCTCAGAAGGTTTGCTGTGGCAGCCTGTCAGAGCGGTCTACTTGATCATTAAATCTAAGAGTACATGTTAACATGTCGAGCATGGTCTCGTTTCTTGTCATGTTGACGGTTGACGCGGTCGAAGCGCTGGTGAAGCCAAGGTGGCTGGGCTTTGTCCTGGCTGCTTCGTTGTGCCATTGGATACTTGCTGTGAGACCTGCTGGTGGAAGAGCCTCGGCTGGAGCAAACTGAGACACGCCACAAATGCGGTGACCAAGAAACATGTTGACAGAGCAAGTTTACACTTCAGTTGGTTTCAGGACTCTCGAAAGCACTTATCGAATGGCTAGCAGTCTTCACTAGAGTGTAAGAATATCAATTCTTCATTTCACCCAGAAGGAGCAAGCTTAGCAAGCTTCTTCTCAGGAGAAGATGAGCTTTTCTATCAGGCCTGATTCCCAACGATACTTGCTGGTTCAAGCATGTTCAAGTGCTGTGCCTGTACGGAGGCCATTCACTCGGAGGTAAACAGATTTGCTGCTCGGGATTCACTGGCGATGCTGGCGAATTAGTTCCCACAAACTGACGTGGGAGCGCAAAGGAGTGCACCATACCCGACTGACACCATAAGGGCTTCAGATTCCTACCGACTCTAAACCCAAAACAGCTGATAGACGGGTCCCGATCTTATCAACAGCCAGGCCTTCAGAGCAAGCAAATGTGAAGAAGATGCCAAGGTGGATCAGCCGTTGGCCAACAAACTTTGCAAAATGTGTCTATGATATGGAAAGTCTAGCACAGTTCACTGGACATTTGGCACATTGCCAAGATACACAAGGTGCACAACCGAGAGAGACGAAGAGTTTTGAGAGGAGTATCCATTTGGCATGATGTGACGTCAATGACTCAAAAAAGATCAAAGCAGGTTTTGATAGCTTGCTTTCTGCTTCAGATGTGAACTTGTGCGGAAAGTGCGAGGCGCCAGATAATCCGAAAGAGGTGCCTCGGCATGCTGTTGGGGTCTAACAAACGCTCGGTAGATGCCAGGTAAAGTAGCACAGCAGGAAGTACTGGTTTCAAATTGCAGTGCTTCGACCAGGATCCCTCATTCCGTTGGCTTTGCGTGCCTCTGCCCTTAAAAACCAATTCTTTGCTGCACAGTGTGCTTCGATAGGATTTACTGTAATAGAAAATGATCACAAGATCCTTCGCCCTCAAGCGTGTTGTCCTTTTCAACACCGAATGACTCTCGTAGCTGTGCTCCTCGCACTGGGTGCAAACGCTAGATAGTCCCATTCCTTTCAGCGATATGCTTCGGGTTTGAAGTAGGAACAATAAGCTACTAGAGGCTCCTGGCCTTACTACTAGGAGCAAGGACGCTACTAGGGGCTCCTGGCATCGCTACTAGTAGCAAGAAGCTACGAACGGAACAAGAAAGCTAGTCCAAATGTGGCCGATTGCCGAACCAAAGAAGTTACCCGAAGGATCGATCCGACAGGTGGCATCCCTACACGGCTTGCCATTTCTTTTTGTGGCGACCATGACTACAGTAATGGAATTTACATGAATTTACTGTATACGTCTGACACAAACACCCCAGAGCTAGCACTAGGTGGGGTGTGAACCAAGGAGTCCCACCAAGCACCATGCTAGTGCAGGCTCCCTTCGCATATTTTTTTAGAACCAACCCAAATAAGTCAGCAGCCAACCGGCGCCAAAGCAAGTCAGTGACGAAGTATCAACATCCCCTCCACCCCGCATATATATATGGTTGTCGATCTAAAGGTCCTAGTCAGCAGTGTGTATGACGATGACCCGGAACATATCAAAATCTCATTTGGCGAAAGTTTTTTCTCGAGTTGGCGAAAGTAATTTTTTTTTGGCGAAAGATCTGGCGAAAGATTAAATATGTACTTTTGTATGAATGTTCATTTGCTTTCTGAACAGCTGGTGGCAGCGACTCAGAAGCTAGATGAGCTGTGGAAGTTAGATAACCTGCTGCTGCTGCGACTACTACTACTACTACCACTACCACTACCACTACCACTACCACTACCACTACCACTAC